AGGAACATGGATACGAAAAGATGCGAAATAGTGGAACACATTGCACGAACAGGGCACGAAATCGACTGGAAATCGACAGAAAGGTTGGCTGCATGTGGGGAAGATACAAGAACACGCAAGATCCGAGAGCCCATCGAAATAGTGACCGAGAGGAATCTACTAAACAGGAGACTGGAAGAAGACAGGATCAGCGAAAACTTTGCATATTGCCTAAACAAACTGGGAGAAGACCAGACAACAGGAAGATCAGTAAAAAGAAAACGACTGGATCAAGGTAATATTCTTAATTTTAGGAAATGAGATCGCAAAAAAAGAGATCGAGAAGGGAACAATCGGAATGAAAGAGGAGACGTCTTCAGTGATCCTGATCAGAACAAGTAGAACCACAACATTTGTGTGTTGGCACACAAGAGACTAGGACGTAGGAATTGATGGACATGTTGGTACAGATAGAAACAGGCTGACAATAGACGTGTTTGATCCTAAACGTGATCCTTGAATTACGACTATTGTTAGCCAACCAGCTCTAGTTTCCACTGTTTCTATCCTGTTTCTATCTCGAATACCAAGTCTATGACTTGCCAACCCATAAATGTTGTGGTTCAACATTGAACCGAGTCAAAACCAGGGGTACCACAACATTTGTGGGTTGGCAAGTCATAGACTTGGTATTCGAGATAGAAACAGGATAGAAACAATGGAAGCTAGAGCTGGTTGGCTACAATATTCGTGATTCAAGGATCACGTTTAAGATCAAACACGTCTATTGTCAGCCTGTTTCTATCTGTACCAACATGTCCATCAATTCCTACGTCCTAGTATCTTGTGTGCCAATACACAAATGTTGTGGTTCTACTTGTTCTGATCAGGATCACTGATCATTCATTCCGATTGTTCCCTTCTCGACCTCTTTTTTTGCGATCTCATTTCCTAAAATTAAGAATATCACCTTGATCCAGTCGTCTTCTTTTTACTGATCTTCCTGTTGTCTGGTCTTCTCCGAGTTTGTTTAGGCAACATGCAAAGTATTCGAGATAGAAACAGGATAGACGCGGTGGCGATGGGAGCTAGAGTGGGCTGACGGTAGATGACGGACAAAAAAATGGGCACATTTTCACCATATCCTAAAGAGTTTGCCTCGAAAATAATCTGCTCAAGACTGTTTCCGAATAGCCAATCAACAGTTGGCCAATGCGAGTGCAAAGTCGTCTTCTGATAGAATCCAGCTTCGAATCGCTCCATAACTTTGGCTGCCCTTTCAACAAATATGCACAAATGGCCTCCTCGTAAGACGGATTTTATTCGCCGGCAAGCACTATCGCCTTAACAGACAAGCTGTGTTGCAGACGGACAGTCGAGAAGTCGTCTGCGGCCTCGAGACTGTTTTCACGAAACCGACGCTCTGGCCAAAATGACGCGGAAACGCCGAGAAAACGACGAGACCAGTTTGCTTTTGCCGGTGCCATGCTCATTTTACACGCCTGGACTTTACCGTTGCCACATCGTCGATGATTGGCGCGGCTGCCCAGTTGAAATCGTGGTCTCGAACTCTGCACTCTTTCGAGTTCGAGGAATTCCATCCGACACGTTCAAGGCAAATTGTCGAATGAGAAACTGGTCGTTTTGTTTTCGTTTCTAAGACGGCTTTCGAGGCCACCAGTCGAGGTTGATTAACAATTGCATTTATTCTATTTCTCTTAATCTGATCAAGGACCTGTGCTTCAATGTTACCACCTTTATGTGCACAAATCTCATGTTTCCAGCCAATTTCACACAACCCTGCTCCAATCAGGAGTGGGCTTCAGTTTCGACCTCATCCGAAACCGTCCCATCCCCACCTACAGCAGGATTCGAACCCGGCAACCCCACCAAACAAGGTGTTATGATAAGGCCTGGCCTGTGACCCGAGACCAATCGTGATGCGTTGCAACCTGACGCGGCGCCAGCACGATCTGGGCTCGAGTCCCGCAGGGGAGGCAAAGTCTAAATTGCATTCCACCACAGGCGGGAAGATATTATCGTTTTGAGAAGCAAGGAAACGTGAAATTCAATGAAAGATCAAGCCTTACTCAACGGATTTTGGGAACATGCATCCATCAGTCGTGCCTCACAAGCCTCACATTTTAATGTTTCGTTTATAAGCGGATTTTTCGAGACTTCCAGTAGATCATTTTCACATGATGTGTATTCAATATATCTCAATTAAAATGAAATGGGACTGATGGTTGAATCTTCCAATAATCATGTGGAGTGGACCTCAGCTGAACCGATCTTATCAACTCGAACAGCGGGACTCGAAGCATGACGATACGGTGTTAAATCTCTACATGTGAAATGTGAATATGAAGGAAGGCCAGGCACTTTGTCATATCACATTTTGTAGTGGGATTTTCAATGAGGCAAATTTGTATTTGCTATGGCAATCGCCTGTATTACTTATGCTTTGTTTGTAAGTAGGGTCTCAAACTGCCATTAAATCATTAAATATACCTTTTGGGAAAGTAAATCTATGTGAAATTGAACGGAAGTGTAAAGTTTACTACCAATCCTATTAGCACCTTAAACCAAATGGGGTGATTACACTTTTTGTTTATTGTCTGAAAATGAATGAAACGATCGCAGACGACCGGTCGTTTGGAGGGGACTGTCACAGCTCGTCGCTTCTCCACACAATAAATCACTTGTTTTCTTCCTACAACGCATGACACGTGCACTCGAGCCCACGTCCACCCGTCCACTATGCACGCAATGAGCATTGAACATGTAAAGTGTCAAATCTCTAAACAGTTTCGGCATTTGTCCCTCTTGTTTTCAGCCTCTCCCTCTCCTCCATTGCTCTTTCTTTCTCTCTCTCTCTCTCTCTCTCTCTCTATCTCTCTCTTTAAATGCAATTTTTGGATTTATTGCTGTTGTGTCAGCCTCCGTTTCAAGAGCTATTGGAATCATACAATTGGGATTAAAATGGGAAGCACACAATCGCATTCTTATGGAGGCTTTCATTTTGTATCAAAGTGTTTGTGATGACAAGATTTGTTGATTTATTTCAGCGTTTTTATGCATTAGTTCGGCTTTTTTAATTCAGCTTTCATGTTGATGCAGAACAAGAGACATTCTTCTTTGTTTCACCTGAAAACGGGCTCATCATTCGTCCGCCATACCACCTCAGAGCTGAACCTTATTTTTACAAACACTTAAAGTGAGTACCAAATCAAAAAACTATCCGCTTCTTTCCAACATCATATAAATGTAACCTATTCCATTAACTGATTGATTTAACAACAATATACATTTATTTATTTATTTATGTATATAAACATGATCATATGTATTCTTGTTAACCAGATCCATTTTTTGGATCCTATCCGATGAACTAATGATTCATCAAGAATGTCCACATATTTATATAAACATATACATACAAATACATACTGTATACATAAACATATATTTATATA